ATCGCAGTTGTAGATGTTGTAGTCGGTATCGCAGTAGTAATCTGTGATGCCACTCCTATTGTAGATGTCGTATCTACAAAAAATCCATGATGCAGAGCGGATCGCGTACCTCCATTGTTGATGTAGATGCGGACTCTGGTTAGGACGGTAATGGCGGTTGATCGAGGATGGAGTGCCGTCTTATGTGAAGCTAGGCCTCTTTCACCCTCTGGCTAACATGATGGTGCTGTGGATAAGCTCGGCCGACAGAAGGTGGGGGTGGTGCCAAGTAGAGGGCCGCCCAATTAACTTTCCAAACTTTGGCCACTTCTCACTCTCATCTTGTTCCGTAAACAAATGTGGGAAAAAAACATCCCTTGAATGTAAGGTACATGCTTCTCTATAAGGAAAAACCTTAAAATGAATAACCCAAAAATGCTTGGCCCGGCAAGAAAAGTTATCGTGCATATGCGACCTGGAGTCTTTCTTTTTCTTTTCTTTTTTTTTTTTTTTCTTTTTTTTTTCTTTTTTTTTATAGAAAAGACAGACCCATCAGTGCTAGTGATGCTGTTGAGGGCAGACATCACTAGCACCTAGGGAGAGGCTCCATCTATTGGTGGGGAGCGTCACCTGCTGGAAAACGGGTCCAGCGTCCCTTATACAGAGATACATCGAATAAGTACTCAGATCGGGAATGAGCCTGCCAGCATTGATTACTCTGCAAACCAGAGGATTGACTGAGCAGGTGAGCCTAAAGCTGCAACTGATAACAACTTGAACCAGGATAGAATCTCTTCACCCAAACCAGGTGCCAGATGTCGACTGTTGATTTCTGATTCTACTCTCCCTGTATGTGAGCTTCAGGACTGCGGTGGGTTCTGTTGCCTTACCAGGGTTCTGTTTTCCTTTAGAGCTGCTCATCATACCCAACCCTGTTTGGAACCCCTGTGTTTTTGGCTCCCACCCCAGCCTTCACCTTGCAGCTCCCTTTACACTTAAAATGAATCTTTGAACCCAACAGGACGCTCTTCTCCCGTGTTCCCTTCCTTTCCTCCCCTGCAGGCTTGCCTCTTCAGCCCCTTCATTGGGCCGCCTGATTCTTACCTTACCTCCTAGCAGCCTCACTCCCCCTCATACCATCCCTTGCTCACTAAGCTGTTTGCCGGGGGGGGAAGAAGTCAGGGAACTGATCAATTGGGCGCAAGGGTATCGGATCATGCAGATGGGTCCAGTTCTTGAAGAGGAGCTTGTAGTCCCGGGTTATTCGCTCGCTGTACTGTCCTTCCACCTGCCCCTCCTCCCCTCCTTTCCATTCTATTTTCCCCACTCTCCCCCCAGTTTCCCCTCCGAGCCATTCACTGCTGAATTTTTGAATTTTCTGTTTTATGTCTTTTT